GAATATTCCGCTCGACGGCGTGTAAATTGAGGGAGATAAGGCTCATTAGCGAATCCGACGCGCATTCGTAACGTCGCGCGGCGCAACGTGGAGCGACCGGCGATAATCGCTCGTAATTTTTCCTCCGTCTCTCTCTCCCCCCCCCCCCCTCTCTCTCTCTCTCTCTCTCTCTCAGGCGTTCCTCAGCCACTACGGTCTCGTGCGCGGTAGCCATGTGATGTCAAGTAGCGAGATTACCGGCATACTCTCGCCTGTGAATGATCACATTTAAGCGCGCCATGAACGTTCCAGCGCCTAGAATCTCAGACGGAGACTAGAGACGGATCGCGAGACGGGGTTTCGTTCAAGAAAGAGAGAGAGAGAGAATTCATGCGAGACTCTCGGACCGTTAGCAGCCATGTGCTGAAATTAACGTGCAAATTGGCGAGACTCATTATCTCAGGCGAGCCCGTCAGATCTCATCGAGCTCGCCGGGGATTTCGGTCGAAAGCAAGTCGATCCCGACAGAGCGCGACTCTCAGCGGCAACTGGCGAATCTTCGCTTGGACGATATTTTCCGAAACGGACGAGAGCTTCGCGATGAGACCCAGATGGGACACGGGCGAGGTATCGATAGCCGCGGCCGACGGGGCCCGTCGATGATGATCCTCGGCCTCTCGGCGATATTGTAGGCGACACCGCGACGGCGGCTCCTGACACGCAAGAATGTCGCGAGAATGCAGCGAGCGCGGCGGTTACCGTTCGCTCGTTGCTCAGCTGTTGCGGCCTTAAGGACTGAAATAATCCGAAGCTGGCAGCGCGAGTAGGTGGGCGGTCAACCGCTATCCGCGCTCGCGCGGATAGCCGGGCCCGAAATAAACCGGCGTTTCTAAAATTATCCCGCGCGCCGGCACTTACTTCAATCCGCGAGGAATGCAATTCGATCCCTGGAGGGAGGGAGGGAGGGAGGAAGGAAGGAAAGAAGAAAGGAGGCAAAAAGGACGGAGAGAGAGAGGAGCGGCTCTGAGGCGCATCGCGTAGCAGTCGCGCACCTTCCTCGCGACTTGATCGCGGCCGATCGATCGGCCAGAAGAGCGCGCGCGCGCGATCGTTTCGCCCGTTGCGGGCACCCACGACGTGCACAGGCGAGATTACTCGAGGCGAGGCAACGTCGATGAACCTCTCGGCCCGCAGGGAGACTCTCTCGTCGAGCGATACGAAACGAAATCGCTCGATCGCGATTCACGCGTCCCATACTCCTCCCGCCGATCTTCGAGCTATCTGAATTTCTCCTCTGGTAATCGCCTCGGTCCGTTTGGCGTCAGTGAGACTCGACTGCAGACTCTCTCTCTCTCTCTCTCTCCGTCGTCTGCGGCACAATGTATGCATGCGCGTGATACCGCGCTAACATCGCCGTGGGATGATGAGATCGCGGGTGGCGTGATGTGCTTTCGTGCAGCGAGACTTGTCTGTCGATCGCCGACGAGAGTTCCTCCTGCGAGCGCGCGAATGCGCGAAAGAACGAGCGAGCGAGCGATCACTCGCGACTCTCCCATGTCTCCGGCGTGAGAATTCGAACCAGCTGGTGCGCTCGCCCGGCGCCCCGGCTCTCGCGCGGCACAATGGGTGCTCTCTCATGGGGCCACGAATCTCGCCTCGACACACAAGAGAGCTGCGAGAACCTACGAAACGGAGCCGGCCGAGCGAGCGGGTGAGCAACCAGCCTGGCAAGGCAAGGCAAGGCAAGGCAAGGCAAGGCAAGGCAAGACAAGACAAGACAAGGCGGCAGGCCGACCGGCCGTCCTTCCGCGCGCAGTGAAATTTAAATGAGCGCTCCCGACCGCTCGCCGTGCGCCAACGCTCTGTCTGTGCATCTCTGTGTGTGTGTGTGTGTGTGTGTGTGTGTGCCTCCCTTCACGAAACTTTCATATCGCATTCTCGCGCGATTCGACCTTTCGTTTAAGAGACGACGTCCGTCCCGCCGCGCCGCGGTGATGCTTGAACGAGAGGGGGGCTGCTCGGGGGGCCTCTATGGCCTCGATACGTGAATGCCCGTGAGAGAAGCCTTCTCTCTCTCCTCTTCCATCACGTCCTCTTCCTCCTCCTTCTTCCAGCCTCCCCTTCTTGGCTGCACGAGTAGTATTACGTACACTGACATCGCGTGTGTCCCGTCATCGTCATAATCACCATCGTTTCGCCGAGACCCGAGAGAGTCGTCGTCGTCGTCGTCGTCGTCGTCGTTGTCGTTGTCTTGTCTCACCACGTGGAGCAGAACCTCCGATCGACCGATCCCGCCGTAACGTCCCCGTCGTCGTCGTCGCGCGACAACTCTGGATTAAGACCGGCTGATATGGCGCTCTTTGTTTGTTTTCCCTTACGACGCGTTCCCTTACGACACACGGATAAAGTCGCGGATCTCTCGTCGCCCGGAGCGCCCTCCCCCTCCCTCCACCGATTGTTTGGAGCAGCGTGTGATATTGCAATATTGTAACACGCGCATTACATGTATCGCTTACTGAAATCGTACATGCGATCATGTATATTAATGTATGTATAAACATGTACACACACACACACGCACACACACACACACACACACACACACACACACACACACGCGTACACGCGCGATTTTTGCTTGTCCACTTACCTGCGATACATAATAAATATGTACGGTAAATTTCAATAGTCCGCCGCGAGGAATCTCTCGACGCGGTCGCTCGAGGCTCCTTCTCCGAGGCTGCCAATTACCAAATACCCCGATTACGATGCGTCCCGATGACGTTGCGCCCCGGCACGCATTCGCAATTGATTGAACGAAGGTTGCGCGCGGCCGGAATAAAACTGTGGGCGAGAGAAAAAGAAGAAGAAGCAGAAGAAGGAGGAGAAGGAGGAGGAGAGGAGATTCTGCGTATGACGAAAGGAGGAAAGGAAGGAAGAAAGGTGGAGAGAGAAGGAGAGAGAAGAACATGAAAGCGCGAGAGAGAAGGGCGCGACGACGGGGGGGGGGGCGACGCGAAGTTGCGAAATGGCCAGTCGCGCTCGACTGCCTCTCGATGAAATTGAATCGCGAAAAAAGGCGCCGCGCGCGCTTGCGTCAATCGCACTTTATTCTCCGCGCGGCGCCCCGTCGGAGAGCTCTAATTTACTTTCAATTAACTCGCTAACGAGGCGCGTATCGGGCGTCCGGCCGCGATTGTCGCCACTACATCTCTCTCTCTCTCTCTCTCTCTCGCAGACGCGGTCACAAGTCTCGAGCGCACGATCGCGCCGACGAATTCATTGAATTTTCCTAGACAAGCCCTCCGCGCGCCGATCCTCTCGCTCCTCCGTTCCGGCGCGCTACGCCGCTATTAACTCATTTGTATCCATTCAAGGCGGCTATTAACGAGCCGTCGCGCATATAATGCGGCCCATTATGCGGACGAGGAACGCGTGCGTGCGACGTGCGTGCGTGCGACGCCTCGAGCGCGGATCAACGGTCAGAGCGCGGTTGGGTGTCCTCCTCTGTCTCTTTCTTTCTTCCCGCGGCGAGCAACGTCGGCGCAGCGTCCTTGTTTCAAGAAATGGGACAGGAAATGCACCTTTTCCCTCGATGTTTCTCGCCGACGCGCGTGAAACAAGATGGCTCTCCTCGGGACGGATCTCGCGAACTCGCTCGCGCGACCTCGCTCGATCGCGCACCACTTTGGGCCGCAGGCGCGAGGACTCCGTCTCGAAGGGCTCGGAGGGCATCCAATCGGACCCGGGCGACCTTACCGTCGCTCGCGAGATCCCTGCACTTTCGCCGCGCGCGCGCGCGCTCCGCGATCGCCCGAGTTCCTTTTAATCCCCGCGTCGCAAATGTCACCGTCGTGCTGCCGACGACGGTGCGAGACAATCCGATTAGGATCTACTTACTTCTGAATACACTCGCCGGCATTATCTCCTCGCTCTTTCGGCCGCGGCTCCTTGTCGTCGTCGTCGTGCCGACAACGACGACGGCGGCGGCGGCGACGACGGCAATCGATACACCGAGCCCCCCCCGCTCTCGTCGATACCGCAAACGCCCCGCAGTCTCGTTTCGCAAGGTTCTCGTCTCTCGCGGGCCCATTTCATGTTTCGAGGAGTCGGATGCACGTCCATGCGCCGCATTCGCCGCGAGCGGATTCCGTCCGCTCGTCGCCGGCTCGATATCGCGGAGCGTTATCGCAAGTGAATATCGCGCCTCGAGCGCGGTGCGTGTAATCGAGGCCCGTAAAGTGCGAGCGAGCGTTATTACCGGTTCGCTTATTAAGCAACCACCGACGGAGTCAATGAGAGAGAAGTCTCCCCGCCGTAACCTCGTCGTCGTTTTACGCGCATCGCCGAACTTGTATCTGGGTTAATATTTAAATATAGACGCTACAATTTCATTCCGGCTCCGGCGAAGTGGATGCGGATGCGCGAATCGCGGCATTTTATCAGCTCCCCGCCGTGGGTTCATATCGAAGCGCCAACGTCGGCAATTAAAACTGGACAAACGACGACGACGACGACGACGGGGCAGCGTTTCTCCCGGAATCGAGAGAGAGAGAGAGAGGGGGGGAAGGGAGAGAAAGAGAGAGAGAGGAGACTGTCGGGACGAAACTCGGTTTGAGGAAACCGAATTTCCACTTGAGACTTGCTTTTATCGCGTATTACCGCGCCGGTCTGCCGGGATGAATCCCCCTCCCTCTCTCCGCGTCCCTCGCCGAGTAAGAGAGAAATCGAAGGATATAGAATCGACGGACGATGTGCCGAATAGATAGACGGAATGGATGCTAAATAGATAAGCCGCTAAGTAGCTAAACGGACAGATACATGCATGCTGGCCTTTACATAGCCGGCGGGTACATAATACTCGCGGCTGTGGGAGAGAAAAGTGACGGTACATGCGTCGGCAAAGCGTGCGTACGCCGCGCGCGTCCTCTCGGGCTACCGCGAGCCGTTTCGTAATTTAATGCGATCTCTCACTGAGAGGACGACTACTAACTGCACCGCGCTCTGTGTTCTGATTTCAGCGGCTCTGTTTTCCATCCCTCGACGGCCATGAGTCCTCCTTCACGTTCAGTCTCTCCGGCAACCAGGACATCGAGGGCCCTTCGGGTGGCTTCGAGTGTATCCAGCAAACCGCCGCCAAGTATGTATCTCCGCACGCACGCACGCACGCACGCACGCACGTGCGTCGTCGCACTCTCGCGTGTCTCTCGCGAGTCGCGTCTCTCTGATTAGAGTCGACTTTGATCCCCGAATTGCGCGTCCTCCCGCTGTGCTTCACCGCGCGTCATTGTCGATTGCTCTGCTCTTTCTCCCTTTTCTCTCTCTCTCTCTCTCTCTCTCTCTCTCTCTCTCTCTCTCTCTCTCTCTCTCTCTCTCTCTCTCTCTCTCTTTCTCTCTGTCTTTTTTCTCTTGAGCCTTTGCTGCATCCCGACGCGACCGTGATGATGTTTCTCGGCACCGAGACCTTTTTTGTCGACTTCTTACACACACGGCGCACAGAGTACGCCGCGCGAGCACTCGGGTAATGGGAAGCAATCGAAATCGCAGTTGGCGCGCTTGCTCACCCGATCGAGATCCTCGGCATTATTATTGCGCGTCGCGGTGGTAGATAGCGCGAGCAAGTGTCGGGTATCATCACGGTGACTATCGGATAGCGGAAAAACAATCTCTCTCGTGGACTACTCCCCGGCTTTGTATCCCCGGTCTGTAATCTCTCTCTCCTCTCTCTCCTCTCTCTCTCTCTCTCTTCTCTCCTCTTCTTCTCCTCTTCTCTCTCTCTCTTCTTCTCTCTTCTCTCTCTTCCTCTCTCTCTCTCTCTCTCTCTCTCTTCTCTCTCTCTCTCTCCTCTCCTTCTCTCTCTCTCTCTTTCTCTCTCTCTCCTCTCTCTCTCTCTCTCTCTCTCTCTCTCTCTCTCTCTCTCTCTCTCTCTCTCTCTCTCTCTCTCTCTCCTCTCTCTCTCTCTCCTCTCTCTCTCTCTCTTTCTCTCTTCTCTCTCTCCTCTCTCTCTCTCTCTCTCTCCTCTCTCTCTCTCTCTCTCCTCTCTTCTCTCTCTCTCTCTCTCTCTCTCTCTCTCTCCTCTCTCTCTCTCTCTCTCTCTCTCTCTCTCTCATCTCTCTCTCTCTCTTCTCTCATCTCTCTCTCTCTCTCTCTCTCTCTCTCTTCTCTCTCTCTCTCTCTCTCTCTCTCTCCTCTCTCTCTCTTCCTCTCTCTCTCTCTCTCTCTCTCTCTCCTCTCTCTCTCTCTCTCTCTCTCTCTCTCTTTCTCTCTGTCATCTCTCAAGCGGCACAGGTAATTTCCCATCTGAAGCGAGCGGCGTAAAAAAAAAACTCTCCCGGGGAAGCATCCTTGAGGAGCAGGTGGTATGCTATCGCGGCGGCAACTTGACACACTAAAGCGCGCTGTTAGCGCGCCGCCAGCAGGTGTCGACTGCTCGCGAGCGCTCGCTGCGTAGCCGTGAACGGTTATGCTTGAGTCAGCAGAACCGATTCAGCGGCAAGTAGCGCGACTACTAATGCTACCGTATCGGCGACGTCGACACGCCGACAATCGCTGTCGCTTAACGCGCGACGACAATTGTTCCGATCGTTGTCCTCGTCGTCGTCGGCCGTCGTCGTCGTCGTCGTCGTTGTCGTTGTCGTTGATGAAGATCTCTCCTCGAGTGAGAGAGACTCGCGAGAACAACGCGCGTCGCGTCCTCCGTCGTTCTCGTCGGCGGGGCGAGGACCCTCGCGAATATCCGGCTTTAACGCATCGACAACCCCGGAAGGGTGAAATTACGCTTTCTGTAGATTCGCGCTGCGCAGCCTTCTGTAGGGTGGAGTTACTTACTTTCGCAGCATGCAGTCCCTGGAATTCTCTGCGATGATATTACGTATTCCGCTCGTCACAAGGACGCTTTTCCGGGCGAATGACACAAACGTTTTTTTTTTTTTTTTTTTTTTTTTATATTAACGGAAATTCGACGGCCGCGAGAATGGCGATTTTACTCTGCAATTTTATTGATTTATTGATTTGCTTATTCATAATATACGGGTGTAAACCCTTTGATGTACATTACTTGATAATGGTATAACAACCCACGAAATCATGATACATTTATGATACGAAATGAAGTTAAAATATCAGTTGAAATACTAAGTTTCCAATTATGCCTTTTTCTTTCTCATTTCTATCATTTTTTTTTTATCTCACGCAGCATTACACGGACTGTAAATTCCGCGTTGTTACGGAACGAATTACTGTAGCCCTAAATGTACAAAAAGATTTTGTCGCCTTGTAGATAAAAATTTCTCGATCGTGACAATTATATCGATCGGAAGTGTGTACGGGTTTATACGCGAGGACTTTTGTCTCTCTTTAGACCACCGTTTCGAAACGAACTCTCGAAATCTATACAGCGGTCGCGGTAATTTCGAATTTTCGAATCGAATTAATTTCGCCGCAGTTAGCGGCGAAGTTAAAAAAGAAAATAAAAACGGCGCGATACCGCGGCGGCCGATTGATCTTACAAACTGCCGCTCGTTGCAATGTTCGTCTTTCCCGCAGGAGCCTGGAGAGCCTCGGCAACATTCCGTACAAAATGCGGATACACGCGAACGACGACGTGTACGAGACCACCAGGCACCGGATGGTGATCGCCGAGGAGAACAACAAGAACAAATGGTGAGTCCGTTCGTTCCCATTCGAGCCTTTACGACTACGCGCGGCAACAGGCGAGGAAGGACGAGATCCCTCTTTCCCTTCGGGAAAGCGACCGACCGAGCGCCGCGCCCCTCCCGACCCTCCCCCCGTGTCTCGAGACTTTCCTCCCGCGTGAGCGCGCGAGACCGTCGCCGCCGCGCCTCGCGGAATCGTAAATAATGCTCGTCCCGCGCGGCCATTACTTTTACAAACTTTCGCCCGGAGATACGGTCTCTCGGATGTGTTCGCGCAGCGATTCGTGCTGGAATTTACGAGGCGATGCCGCGTCTCGCGAGCGAGCAGCCGCGACGAGAACTCGCGGAAAATTGCAGACGCGCCGCGCTTTTCCGTCGCATCGCGTCGCCTCGCTATCACCTCGATACACCTCGTTTTCTCTTAAATCGCACGAGAGTCTCCCATCCGGAGATGTCTTCTATCTCTCTCGAGCGGCAGCCAGCAGCAGCAGCAGCTCTCGAAGAATCCGCGGGCGCGTGACAAATACGTACGCGTTCGCGTACGCGATGCGAACGAGTTCTCGCGTGTTCGGCTCTCCGCGTTCGGTAAAAATATCGGATACCGCGTTTATTAAACGCCGATTGCGGCCGTCAGGCGTCTCATTGAACCGGACAGTAATTTCCCAATCTCGTGTCTTTGAACAGTCCCGCGACAACTGGCTATTTTATGCCGCTTCTTATTCTCGCTGACTTATTTCGCGGCCTACTTTTTTTTTTATCCGTGTTTCTTCTCCCTCTGTTCTTCGGGAGAGCCTCCCGCGAGAGAGAAAATTTATTCAATTCTTTTCTTTCGGTGAGATGAAACTTGCTAATAACGTTTACGGATGCGCACTGATCATGAGCTCACCGTCGTGTGTATATACGCAGCGCGCGATTTACCGAGGATTAACCTCGCTTCAGAGAGAGAAGAACGCTTTCGTATATCTCTCCAATCTCTGAAATCTCTCTGGAAACTGCTCAAAGAGACCGTCTCTGCAGCTCGATTCGAGCGCCGCTTACCATCGATGGATTGATAATTATTAGATAATTGTTGCCTCAACGAAATCCCGTAGCCAAGCATCGATGATATCTGTCTGTCGGCGGTAATGAAAGCGTGATGATGAGTCTGAGAGAGTATACGCCCGTTTTACCCTTCATATTTATCTACTCCGTAGGGGAGACGATTCTAGATTATCTCTCGCGGGGAAAAGCGCCCGACGAAGGTTCCGCCGCAAGCAGAAGCGACGCGTCGACCGAAGAATCAGCCGCGCGCGCGATTCTCCTCTCGCGACGCGCACGCGAGGCTCTTCGTTCGCGCGCGCGCGCGGCGGCCACATCGACGGCGTGGCTAATTTGTTTAGCGTCGTCACGGTCAAGGTTAAGAGCGCCTCACAAGTGCGACTTCGTCACGGCTGAACCCTTTTTCGCCTCTTCCCAGCGTCGTCGCGCGGTGCTCGATCGGTGATTCGCGCCGGCGGAAAATTACGTAACCCCGATCGATCGATCGATCGATCGGCGGCCGGTCGGATCTCGCGCGACAACTGCGCGTGGAAAATTGCATTAATCGCGTCGTCGATCTCGTGACGAGACGTCGACGATGTATTATTGGGAACCGACGTTTCTCGCGTGCGCGCGCGCACACACACATACACACACACACACACACACACACACACACACACACGCGCGCGCGCGCGCGCGCGCGCGTAAATACACGTAAAAACACGCGCGATTAGAAATCGCCGCTGCGCTCCGCGCGAGCGTGTGTTCTATTTCTCTTTCGGGTGACGCAACAGGCAATCGCGCTCGGTGTTTATGCGCGTCGGCTGAAAAATAAACGCGCCGCCAGTTATTTCGCGCGATTAGAATTCATTGTGGAGTATACATATGCATAGTGTTGTGCGCGTCTCGCGTTTCGCTCTCGATTCGCTGAAAAACGCCGCGTGTTCGCATTTTTCGCGTTCCCCCGTCGTGCCTCGCCCCGGATGCCTGGAGATGTGCGAATCAAGAATCTTTACGTCGAGTCGAATCGAATCTCATTTTTTTAAATTCGAATCGAATCGAATCTATGAAATTTCATTGGAATTCGAATCGAATCGAATCATTGACAAATTTAGCAAGACTATTAAACATGCAAATAATGATGGAAGATTTTAATACGAAAGGGGAATATTGATATTGTAATATCACCTTAAAGTAAAATATATATTTAAAAATTTATAGTAATTTATAATTAAGTTATTAATTATAAGTGAAGTTAATTACAAGTTAAGGGTTCAAACGTACAGGCCGAGATGGCTCGTTTTGTAGCTGATACACGCAAACGATAATGTATATTTGATTCCTACTCGTATTATTCGGATTCGAATCGAATTGAATTACATTAGATTCGATTCGATTTGATTCGAATAGTTCTTCGCACATCTCTACCCGGGACTCTCGATCTTTGTCCGTTTCTACGAGCGCGATTTTACGTTTTCTGAATTAACAAAAAATATTTACATACATACGCATATACAGAGTGTCCGGGATCTTTTGGAAGCGAAAAATTGTGAAGATCAATCAGATCAAACTGAGAAGAAAAGTCATGTACCGTTTTGCAAAAGTCGCAAACGTAGTGATTAAGTTATTAATAATTGAAAATGACACATCTAGAGGCACTTTTAATTGATTATTTGAAAATTTACATATTTATTTATAGAATGGTAAAAGACTTTTTTGTTTTAGAATAACTTAATCTATTATTATATAACAGCCATTGTGTCTAGCGATAGATTTGAGTATATTGAACTTTGAGCCTTGAATCTTGATCCTATCATTCAATATACCCGTCATATAATTGTAAACATAGCTTAATAATTAATTATTTTTATAAAATGATACTTGACTTTCCTGCTCTCAGTTTGACCCGATCAATCGTCACAATTTTCCGAAATCGTTTCCGAAAGATGCCGGACACCCTGTATATGCAGTAGAAAATCATATGAAATTATGTTCCGAAACGTCCGCATTCACGAAGAGATTACTTACAATTGAGGTGAATAGTTTCCGTGTCGCATAATTCACGGCCGTTATTATCTGTATAATTAAACGACCTCAATTGTGTCCGTTTAAATTCTGCTCCAGCGTTCCGTCTGCTGATACCCATCTCGCAGCTAAATCAATTCGCGCGCGCGCGCGCGCACCAAGCTTGCGGATGCGAGCGCGCTAGAATTTCATTTTAGGACTAACACGTACGAACTAACATTCGTCTCACCGGCAATCCGTATCGCTTGCAGCACGCGGGTGATCAAGGCGAATGGTCCAAACATCGGGCGCAAGGTGAAAGTGAATGCAACCGGAAGGACGATACCGCCTCCATCGAACGCGAGGCATCGGGAATCATCGTCCCCCGCCAGTCAACCCAAGCGATCTCCTTCCTACCGGCCAACCACCAGCAGCTCGCCGGAGAAGAAGATCACCGACCTCATGCGCAGGCCGCTCAAGTAATTATATCTACCTACATGCATGCGTCAACACCTCCTTGTCATCGTTGTTGTCGTTACAACTCACATCGCGTCGCTAGAAACGTCGCTCTGGAAACGAGCGAATTTCAATCTCTGGTCAAGTTATTGGATGGGTACAAATTAGTTCGGTCCGTTTTCAAAAGACGGCTCCGGCTGTTATGAATGCCTCATAGTGACTGCCGATTTTCGCGGTTTCAGAGTGGTTAGACATCTGCGAATAATATTCAGTTTATATCGCTTTGAGTTTCATACAAAAACCTTGCTGTTTACGGTGTTGAAAATGTCGAATTTTGTGTCGAACCAAGCAGCATTTGCGGGAGGTTTTAATTTTCTGCTTTAATTGGAAGAAAAGTGCAGCCGAAGCCCATCGAATGCTTGTTGAAGTTTATGGTGACGCTCCAACTGATAAATCATGTAGGGAATGGTTTCGACGTTTCAAGGATGGAGATTTCAGCGTCGAAGACAAGCCTCGCTCTGGACAGCCGAAAAAATTCGAGGACAAAGAATTCGAGGCATTACTCGAAGAAGATCAGAGTCAAACGCAAGAGAGGAGCTTGCAGAATCATTGGGAGTGACTCAACAAGCCGTTTCCGTACGGTTGAGAGACATGGGAATTATTCAAAAACAAGGAAATTGGATGCCTTATGAACTGAAACCGAGAGAGACTTTGGAAGGCGTTCTTCATGACAACGCTCGGCCTCATGTCGTAAAAAGTCGTAAAAAAATATTTGGAAACGCTCGAATGGGATGTTTTACCACACCCGCCGTATTCTCCGGACATTGCTCCTTCTGATTACTAGTTGTTCCGAAGGATGCAGCACGATTTGGCAGGTCACCGGTTCGCTTCTTTCGCAGATATCGAAAATTGGCTCCAAACTTGGATCGCCTTAAAAGACGAGTCATTTTTTCGAGATGGAATTCGAAAATTGCCTGAGAAATGGGAGAAAGTAGTAGCCAGCGATGGAAAATACTTTAATTGATCTGTTCATTCATTTTGTTTTGAAATAAATACATCTTTTAACACAAAAAAACGAACCGAACTAATTTGTACTCCCAATACATGCACGATTGACTCGGATCGATCAAAACTGGCGACGCTTTTTGTTCTCCAACGTCCCCCGTAGTTATTTATTTATAATTCGTCTCTGTACTCTGTCAATACACAATTTCATCATATTTGTAGCAAATACATGAAACGAATACATTTATTTGCCTTTACACTCATGTGTTTGCATATGTTTTATATATATGATGAGAATGTGTTGAGAGAGACGCTCGTCAGGCTCGTCGAATGCTCGCAGACGTGTAACTCACACTTGTCCGTTCAACAGGGAAAGACTTATCCACCTTCTCGCCCTGAGGCCGCTCAAGAGACCAGAGATTTACGATCGTATCAACAAAGGTGAGAGACAGAGAGAAAGGGAGAGAGAAGGGGGGAGGGAGAGAGAGAGAGAGAGAGAGAGAGAGAGAGAGAGAGAGAGAGAGAGAGAGAGAGAGAGAGAGAGAGAGAGAGAGGGAGAGGGAGAGAGAGAGACGCGACGAGATCCCAAGACGGATAATGCACCCTCCTCCTCCCCCCTTAATCTAACACGTTAAAATAACTAATTCGGCCGATAACTGGACAGAACGATATATTGATATCGATCCGACAAATTGCAGAGGGTATACGGGAGCGAGAGAAGCCCATCGTGATGACGCTGCTGCGACAGGTGGCCAACATGCGCGACAACTCGTATCACCTGCTGAGGCACGTCTGGAACGACGTGCAGGAGGACTGGCCTTTCTACACCGAGCAGGAGAGGGCCATGCTGAGGCGGCGGAAGCCTCAGAACCTCACACCACCTGGCTCCAGCGACGGATCCACTGGTAACATACGACACAACCGATATTTGCCTATACGCCTATACGTCCGTAGCCACTAGATCGTCACCCAACCGCGGACGATCGTTGGAGACTCTCCGCTCCGAATATCATTCGAATCGTCGTCACTTGCAGGCAGCGGTCAATCGCCCAACTCCATTCAGCCGGGCTCGCCGCCCGCCATCACGGCACCACCTCTATCGCTGTTGGGCAACAAGAGGCCGGGTTACTACCAGGGTAACGACGGGCTGCCGACGAAGAAGCCGCGGATATCGCACTACCGGAAATCCGAAGCCAGCTCGACCAATTCCAGCGGCGAGAGCGGGAGGACGTCCAGCAGCGGCGGCGGCGGCGGCGGCGGCGGCGGCGGCGGTGGTAGCAGCAGCAGCAGCGGTGTCAGTCCTACGGCCGGTACCGTCGGCGTCGGTGGTGGTAGTAGTAATAGTGCGAGTGGCAGTGCAGGTGGCAACGTCGGCTGGGATCACCAGAGGCAACAGCAGCGTGAGCGTCGCGGTGATTGCCGGCCCGAAAGAACAGCGAACAGTGATGTGCTGCGAGGTGGGATCGGCTACGGTAGCAGCAGCGGTAGTGGCTCCCGATCGTGCCAGGCGTCGCCCAGTGATCCGACGGGCAACCAGGGCGCCGGTTACGGACGCGGTGGTGCTGACAGTGCCGTCGCGACGGCCAGCAGCAACACCGGGAGCGGCTCGTTGGGCGCTCCGTCGGCCGGCAGCTATAATTCCCACAGTAGTCCAGCTTATAGCAGCACGGCGATCGCTAGCGGGGAACGACATTATTACGCTGGCCGGTCAGCGGCGACGACGGTGGTCAGCGGTGATAATAGTGCCTGTGGTAGTGTGGGTGCGAGTGTGCAGGACATTGCCGCGCGTTTCGTGCCGAATAGTGCGAGGAGTGATAACGTTAATGTTAATATCACTAGCGGTCGTCACGGCGGCAGCCCGAGCAACGCGAGCGCCGACAGGAGGGACAGAAGCGACAGGAGTCGGACAGTCGTGAGGGAGAATAAGGACTGGGAGCCTTGGACGGTGAGTGGTAGTGCGAACATTGTGGCCTCCCTCAATGGCCACGCCGATATCACCGGTAGCGCGCACTGCGACGACATCTCGGAGAGTCCGCTGGCTTTGGAGGGTAACCAACCTTCGGAGAGTCCTCTGGCGTTGGGGAGTTCCATGACTCTGGACAGCTCCCAAGTCCCCAACTACCTCACGTGAGTAGACATGGCACGATTGTTGTGTTTGCCAACGGTTGTATTCGTCAATGGAATTCCCGTGGGAATCGACGATAAGTTTGCGATTCCTTATTCGTACGAAAAAAGAAAAATCGGCAAATTTTGTTTCCAGATGATCAAAAGTCGATTCACATTTGACATTGACACACTTGACTGTGTAAGGAATCCTCCTCACAAAGCAGCTTTCTCTTTTGTTCAGGTACTACACGACGATAACCAATCTGGAGCAAAGGCGACGTTACAAGATAGCGTTCCACGCGCACTACGAGGAGTACCGAAGAGTGCACGCGATGGTCGCCGCTGTCTCCCAGCGCTTCTCGCAGTTGTATCAGCGAATGACCGAACAGGCGACCCGGGGGAACTCGGACGAGTGTCAGGTATCGTATCGCGGCATGGCGAGTCTGATCGCTGATCTCTCTTTCTTCTCTCTTGCGAATTGTCCGGTCGCTAACCGTCTCCGCTGATCAATTACAGCGACTGAAGCAGCAGATCATGGCTGAGTATCAAGAAAAGAAAAACGACCCAATACACCTAGAAGCGAAGAAGCAGTTCAACTATCTGCACAATAAGCTGGCCCACATAAAAAAATTGGTCCAGGATTTCGACACGCAGAACTTCAACGAGAACGTAGAGTCGACGTCGACGAACAGTTGCAGCAACGAGAGCAACGACTTTGACAGCCGGCGGCACTACTGACATAAACTTAAACGGCTGCCTCTCGTTCCCTGCCTTCTCTCGGTTGTCGACACGCTGCTGTCAACATCGCCGCGGAATCTGTGCTTCCTCGGCATGTTCCAAGGCTGACTCCTCGTCTCACGGTCCACATGGTTCCTGGGTTCCATGGTTCGCTGAACGGTCAAGCGCATCCGGTCCGTTGCCCGGTCCCGGCGAGCACTCGTTCACAACCAGCGCCTAAGCGCGAGATACACCCTGCTACCTGCTGACCCTCCGCAATATCTAACCCTCCGTCGTCGGTCCCCCACCACAGGACCGGCCCACGAGATTCTCGTCGCAACGTTGCTGCTCGGTGCGTCGTCTCTGTTTCTTCTCATCTGCAACACCACAATACCACGACAACTCGTTAGCCGTAATAATTTAATTATCAATAGCTTTAAACTCTGTGACTTTGTGTTACATGCATCATCGCGCACTGGGATATAGCGACAGAGTTCTTTCGGTTCTTGCATGATCCTCTTATCGGCGAAACGGTAAGAGGGGGGGGGGGGCCAGTCATTTTACGGACGACTGACATCTTCCTTTTTATTTGCAGCATTTTCAATTTTACCGCACATGTCGCACATGTTTGCGTCCCTGACAATTTTTCTGTTTTTCTTTCCCCCTCTTTTTTTTTTTCATCGCGTACGACGTCGCGCACCGTATCCGTCCGTTATCCGTGAAGACCGACAGAATACTCCTCGGTGCAAATGAATAATTTTCTTTCTCGGGCGAATAATTTTCTTTCCTCTTATAGAATTGGCTTTATAGAGAAACCGCGCGCGTGGTGTCGGCGGTGGTGCGTTACATGCGCGCGCAGGACGACCTATATCCTAGTGCGCGATACCACACAATCGAGAAAATCTGAATACTCGTGCAATGTCTTTTTCTGTTGGACAATTTCTCGACGCGGACTGACCGAGTGCGACACGCGATGCGACGAAACGTCGAGCCTTTTCTCGACGCTCGTATGCCGCGATAAAGAGATCACACGACGCCGAATCCTCCAATGGTTCTGGTCACTCTGATCACACCCGTTTTAATCGAGGACTGTCATTGCGAAACGTTCGTTCGACCATATTGGGTTAAGGTACGAATTTGGAAACTGGTCTTGCACCGCGCACCGTATTGTGCACTCGCGACACGTCGGGTTACCAATCGATTCGGATTCGTAAGTTATTTCGACTCACGCGTGACTCGCGCGGTACTTCTATGCGCGTCAGCGACTAGTTAGAGACTAGCGTTTTTACCTTCCCCTGTTTCCTTTCCCCTTGTCTTCTTCTCGATACTCGTCGTTTTATTCCGCGTTCGAGGAAGATCAGACCGGCACACTTTGTCGAACAAATGTGACAATTCCAAGGGTTAGCGCGTTTATAGCTCCGAAAACGTCTGACCTTCTCGTTTTTAACGACTGACAGACTGAGCGTTCTCTTTTCCTTTCTTTTTTTATGCCTTAAACGAGTGTAGTTTCGACGCGCGATGTTGTTGCTTCCCCCTTCCCCCTGCTCCAATCTGCTGACGTTTGTTTCTCGTTCGTTGCGTACACGTTTTCCACGACTGCGATCATCTCGTCCGCCGCGCCGTTCCGTCGAGGCCCTCGGGCGCTCCGAGGAAACGTCTCACTGCGCTGATACGCCGATCGGATGTGAGGTACTTAGGAGAATTGTCGGGTGTGACGACGATACGAACGCCGATGCCGCGATAAAACGCGATGGATGATGAATCGGTCGCTCGCGCGGGAGCAAACTTCTTCGCCTTCTCGGAAACCGCGCGAGGATCGCGCGAACGCTCGCTCGCGCCTCCCGCGATCTTGCCGCGGGCTTCTTTCAAGGGCAACCCTTTCGTGCAGACGGGGAATTCAATCGTCGACGAGGATCGATTCTGCGCGTACGTCGTTGCTCACGCGCGCTCATGATTCCAGTGTTTCTCCAGAACTACGTCGTTCCTACGAGCGCGCAACTGTCGCGCTCGCGATCACCCCCGTCGAATTCGGACGACTCGCGCGCGAGCAGTCGGCAGCAACGGCAGCGCGAGAGAGCCTAGGATTGTTGCTTAACGAGTTATGTTCCTCTCTTCTGACTTACTTTCCAGCGAGATCTAGCGCGCGCGCGCGCGCACGCACGCACGCACGCACGCGCGATTTCTATCTGTGCTATTCGAATGTTGTTGGCCGAGTTCGTAGATCCTGTGCGATCTGCCGAACGGACGCGTTAGTAGACGAATTTTAAACGCGAGTTATTTAATGGTTTTCGCCCTCCCCCTTTGTTCCGCGACGCGTAGTTATTTATAATCGATTAATATATATATATATTGCATATATATATATATTATATATATGTATAATGAAATTGTTGAGAGACACTCGTTACATTTGTCGAATGGACCTTTTATACGTCGAAGGAGAATACCGACGCCCGTGTACTACCGTGTTATAATTTCTCTCCCGTCATTGTGCAATACGAAAACGAAAAAAAAAAAAAAGGAGAAGAAGAGAGCGGAGGAAGAGTGGGTGAAGAGTCACACTGCGTAGAATATGCGATCTCGGCGTCGCGACGTGCACCGACTCCTCCCTTTCACCGAGGTGAGGACGCACGAGAAGAACGACCTATTCGATATTTCGGTGACTCGCGCCGTAGCGTCTGCGAAGTACCGGGGATCCGAGAAATCGAGGGCGAAAGAGGGAGACGATCGTTGCACGCCGAGTCGAATCTGTACGGCACGCTACAGGGCGGACGAGACGGAAAGAGCGACGGCGCGAGTCGCGATAACTGCGAAATATTCGCGGCAGTATTCCGACATGTGCAACGCGCGAGTGTACATTGTGCATTTCCCGCACGAACATTGTACAGCTGTAATGTGCGCACACGTTGAGAAAGAGGGAGAGCTCTCTCTTTCTCTCCCCCCCCCTCTCTCTCTCTCTCTCTCTCTCTCTCTCTCTCTCTCTCTCTCTCTCTCTCTCTCTCTCTCTCTCTCTCTCTCTCTCTCTCTCTCTCTCTCTCTCTCTCTCTCTCTCTCTCTCTCTCTCTCTTTGCCTTTCTTCCATAGTGGTCGGAGAAAGGAGGATTCGAGTTGACACCGTAGAGACTGTAAATTATACAGCTGGCATGTATAATCGCGATAATTTGCATCTTTAGATAATTTATATAGTCGTTGTGTGCGTTACGGTTGAAATTTTCACTTCGCGTAGATTGTATTTGGAGTTGAAGGAATTGGTAGAGATGTATATATTTCGTTTTAACGATTGCGTTTCGCGACTCGCAAATCTGCAATCGCACATACGCGCTCTTGTTTCGTTTGCTTTTCTCGTTTCTTTTTCTTCATGACTGAGGAGATACAGGCTTCTTCTCTTGTTCCCGTTTCAGATTAAAAATTATGAAATTTCGGAATTTAAATTCGTTTTACATAAGGAGAGAGATCCTCGGGGTTTCTCGAAATTCGGAGGAAAGATGGGTGCGAAGGTATCGTGATTCTCGCGCTCACTCCAGTTATAGCTTTTGCACACTCGCCGTTCTTGTAGCGAATGTAAAATCAATGTTTTGCGTCTTCGAACTGTGTCTCGCGACACGCATACACACACACACACACACACATACACACAGACAGTCGCACACTGTGCCATACACGTGCGAATTGGCGCACGACGTTCCCCTTTTTTCCAAGACTCGCCCGAGGTCGAACGTTTTTCAGGTCTGTAGTTACCACGTTATACGAGTCAGTGTCCTTTGTAAATTGTACTATTTGTAAATAGTATCGCGCTATCAATTACGTTATGTAAATCAGAAGGCGGTGTTCTTTGTTAGCTGTGAGTTGAAGGTTTCGACAAATTCTTTCGTCGTCCGTCGAACAGCCAATCGATTGTCCTGACGATTCAGCCGCGAGAGAATGACAGAGAGAGAGAGAGAGAGAGAGAGAGAGAGAAAGAGAGAGAGAGAGAGTAGAAACAGTGCCAAAGAGACTGAACTGAAACGACGTTCAAACGCCAGAAAACTATCGATCGCGATGCGAGTTAACTTGATGCGTGTTAACTTAAGCAACAGGCCCGGCATCTTTCGCGCTCGTCGCTTTTGTTAAAAACTCGAGCGTCGTCCAAGCAATTGCGTTTTTCGTGAAAGTAAGTGCTCTTAACGCTGCATTTAAACGACGTTTGAACGCTTGGCCCTTGATTGTCGTAATTCCGTTATTGTTTCGCAGAGAGTTGAAGGAGAGATTATTATTAACGGAGAGGAGGAGCGCCGCTCTTGTTAAGAAAAAGAGAAATTAAAAAAAAAAGTGGAGAAACAGAGAGAGAGAGAGAGAGAGAGAGAGAGAGAGAGAGAGAGAGAGAGAGAAAGGAAATGAGGAGAGAGAAAGAAGAATGAAAAAGAGGGTATCGGCCGTATTACTCCCGGATTGTATTCGATCGTTCGGCAGGAAGAATGCGAGTTCGACGATAGATTCGCGATAAAGGAAATACGCGCTTGTGTGTAAACAGAGAGAATATAAATATACATTTTATACGGAAGAAAGAAGAATATATTTCTCGTAACGAAAGCCGTGAGCTCTCGCTCCGAGGGAGAATCAAAACTCGCGCTAAGGAAAAAAAAGAAGACGAAAAAAGAAGGAAGGGCGGAAGAAGTAAGAGGAATAATGCCAGTTTCGCTCGTGTAGATTTATTAAATAGGGATGTCGTTCGGTTCCCCCGTTGATAAGGAACGCGTCTCGGTGGTGGAGTTTCGGCGAAACGTTGCGACTTCTCCTGAGGTTCGAATAAAATTTCGCGAGAATCCCCCCCCCTCGCCTGAATCGTCGCAGTTGCGCTCGTTCTGCGGTCGTCCGGGCCGGTGGAATGTCGTGAAGTCGAAGTATCGAGTAGGAAGAGAGAATGAGGAGAGAGAGAGAGAGAGAGAGAGAGAGAGATCGCGAAGAGACGAGGATAGGATCTTCTTGCTTCTGTCGAGGTGTGCTCGCGAAGAACTGTCCGTTCGCGCGCGGACACGATCCATATCCATGCTCAAGACCCAAACGACACTCTCGATTCGCCGGGTGGGAAGAGGAAGGAACGGAAAGGAAGAAAACGAGGAAAAAGAACACAGGAACTCTCCAAGTGCCAATATTAGCCAAGCGTGAATTATTATATATAATATATATATATACACACACACACACACACACACACATACATACGGGCGTGTATACGCGTGAAATACACACACACACACACATACATACGCACACTTATACACTCATATGCGCATATAGCGTAATTATTACGTGCATTATCTCTTAGTGGTATACCACACTATGTGCAAGACATAATAAAATCGAAAGAGAGCAGTCACACAGGCTTCGGGAAGTCGAGACGCGTCTCCTCCTCGCTGGCAGACCACCTGGTGACCAGCCTCCTCGACGGGCTCGTGCGCCCGAGAAAGCCGAGATATTGATAGACGAAAGAAATCGACAAGAAATCGCGTGGAGAGCCACGGACGCCTTTTCGTCGCAGCTTCGCCAGCTTTGATCTTTCTCATCTGTTCTTCTTTACTCTTCATCTCTGCATCCCTCGCCGCACGCTTCGGTACTTTCCGATCCGAGCGTTCGGTCCTCGGTCGAAGGACGATCGAAAGAGAGAGAGAGAGAGAGAGAGAGAGAGAGAGAGAGAGAGAGAGAGAGAGAGAGAGAGAGAGAGAGAGAGAGAGAGAGAGAGAGAGTCCACCCGCGATTCCTGCAGACTCATCGTGCCCGGTGGGAGATGTCGCGATCGATGAACGATCTGCTTCGGTGGAATTCGGATGGCGCAGGACAAGACGTCCTGTCTCGCGAGATATCATCCTCGTTTACCAGTCGGCAAGTCCGCTCGATCTTCACCGGGTCTTTCGTCCTCGCGAGAGTTACCTCTGCGTGCACACATTCGCGCAGTCGCGACATATCATTCTACGAGTATCCGTTCTCTCTTCATATCACGCACAGTGCGAGAGGAGCCCCGACGGAGGTCCTCTTGTGCGCAAGGATGGGGGGATCGCGAGCTGTGAAAACTCGCACATTTTTCCCTGATCCCCGCCCGCCGCCCGGAGGTTCTGCTTCTCCGACTGAAAGCACCGACCTCGACGTTCATGTTGACAAATGGAAACAAGGAAACTGGACTCCAAAGATATCACGCGTTGGAAAAAAAGGTCCCCTCCCCCGTCTTTCGGCGGATCGATGAGCGAAGTGCAGCTGACCACAGCCTCTCTCTCTCTCTCTCTCTCTCTCTCTCTCTCTCTCTCTCTCTCTCTCTCTCTCTCTCTCTCTCTCTCTCATCGGCACCCCCGAATCGTCGTCGTCTCCTCCGTCTCATCGCGCAGCTAATCGTCGATGCGACGGCGAGTCGCGATCTTGAATCGCGTCGCAGCTATATGAAGCTTCTCGCTCGCCCGGAACGACGAAGAGCCGTCCTTCGCCCTCCCCCTTCGTCGCGCCCTCCCGCGATACGCGACACCTGGTCGCCTGCCGCAGAATCGTCGCTTCGCTTCTCGTTTTTACACAGCCGACGATGCGTCGCGTAGTACTATATACTTTTTGACTGTGATTTGTTGCTAGGCACTTTGTAATACATTAGTCGCGCCCGCGCGACGACGACGCGCGTGAAAGAGTCGCTCTCCGCGGAGCGAGAGAGAGAGAGAGAGAGAGAGAGAGAGAGAGAGAGAGAGAGAGAGACGTTGACCCTTCTTCTACCGTACGACTCTCGCTCGTGGCATAGGGAAGCTATATATATATGTATACACACACGCAAATATTTATATATATAAATTAAATATATGTACAAATTATATTATATAATTATATGTATATATATTTACGTATATACATATACATATATATATATATATTTTTACCGCGCAGTCAGTCGTCGGAAGAACTCCGCGAGATCGTCCATTTTCCTCGTTCTCGAACCTGAAGAGTCGCTGAGAGCGTCGTATGGGGAGTCCTCCGATGGAGCGTCCATGTGGACGAAGGGTTGAGGAAGCGTGCGACGCGGCGTTGAACACCTTGACTGTCGCGTCGAGTTCGAGGCTCGGCCCGAATTCCTGGTCGCTGGGGTGCTGCAATCGATGTACAGAGTCAGATTACTTAACGGTCATGAGGATCACGCGGAGGGATGTGGTGGGTAGTGAGAGAGCGAGGCAGCCATCGAGTCGACGGAGAATGTTGATTGCGTTCTCCCGTCGGCGGTTCTCCAAATTCTCGACTCGTTGGCCGCTCCTCAGGTCTTGCTCGAGGCTCAGCCTTATCCAGGTACGGACTCGCAGGATGTGTGCGCTCTCGAAGAGACGACCCTTCGATCGAGATCGAGGTCTCCTTGCGCGATCATGCGAGCTTAGATGAGCCTCTCCGCTGTTTGTGTTTGCCTCCCGTGTGCCTTTCTGTGACCTCAACTCGTTGCCAACGTGCGCGAATTGCGCTGGAGCCAGGTGGAACGCACCAGGTGCAAATATCCCCAGGTGATCGGGTCGCCGACGGCTTCCTCGCCGCGGGGACTCGCGCTCTTGCGAAGTCTCGCG